GAAAAAAGTTGCATTCAAATTATAGGACACGACCATTTGAATGGTACAAGTAGTTAAGCTAAGGTCCTGTATTTGATCATTTAATTTACCTTTCATTTTTAATATATTCTGTAAAAGCTGTCATATATCTGTTATTTTTAATTTACCAAATGTTTATACAAGACGTTACTGTTTCAATTGTGATGAAAACAACCTATGAAGAAACTAGAATGCTTTCTGTTGCATTCATTTTTTAGTTCATCCTATTTAATATTTTGTTTATTTTTCAATATGTATATTCTAATTCTGTGCCAGGAAGATCTGGCGTTGATACCAAACAAGGAAAAAAAAGTGTGTCTGTATATGTGTGTGTATATATATATATATATGTATATATAAAAATATATATAGATATATGTGTGTGTGTGTGTGTGTATATACATGCTGAATTCATTAAGCTAGGCAATCAGGTGAAATATTTTACTTCATTCTAAATTCTGAAATTTTGAGACATTCTTTATGTTTCTAGGTATTTGAATAATGAATGACATGTATTTATCTTGAAGATATGCTTTAATTTCTTCCATGAAATAAATGTAGCACAACCTATCAGTTGTTCTCTATTAAATCTTACTGACTAGTATCAAAAATAAAACAGCTTTTGAAGCTTTTTTTTAATTTTGTTGAAGCCTTTGCTTCTTTTCTGTTATGGTTTATGGTTTATGGTTTTATGGTTTTCTGTTATGGGAGGTGGTGGAATAACTGACTCTGGGGGTGTTCAAGGAAAGGCTGGATGTTGTGTTGAGGGACATGGTTTAGTAGGAGCTATTGGGAATAGGTGAATGGTTGGACTGGGTGATCTTTTAGGTCTTTTCCAACCTTGGTGATTCTATGATTCTATGATTCTATGGTTTCTATTAATTTTCTTTATGGAATTAGTTTCTATCGGACTTCCTACAATTATAAGCTATTATAATATTACTTTTAGTTTACATTTAAAAATATTTTTTATATTCCTTGTTAAAAAAAAGGAACAGTTGAATAAATATTAATTAAAAGAAATATCTTAAGATCCTTTCTTTTTGAAAAAATAATGGAATTTTGAAAGTTGAGAAGTAGAAATCTCTGCTATTCTAGCCTTAAAGCTGGAAAGAAAACATCTTGAATTTTGATAGAAGCTCTGCTGCTGAGTTAAATAGCAGTGACACAGTTATTTATGCTTGTGCATGTGTGGCTAATAGAACTATGAAAGCAGGTCTTTTGATGTTTTTACTAGATCTTTGAGATTTATAAATATTAACATATTGATTATGAAGTGGTGCGCTACATTTTCCTTAATTTGTATAATAAATAATAATTAATGCAGCATTAATTATATTGTTGTAATTCTATCACACGGATACAGAATGGGCTGCCCAGGGATCTGGTGGAGTCACTGTCCCTGGAGGTGTTCAAGAAATATTTAGAAGTTGTACAGAGGGATGTGGTTTAAGTGAGAAACATTGGTGACAACTGAGCAGTTGGACTGGCTGATCTGAGGTCTTTCCAACTTTGGTGATTCTATGATTCTATGATGTGGATTGATCTGATCTGATCAATGTGAACTCTTGCAACATGAGTAGGAATTCAGGCTCATCAGCACCCTGTTCTTAGTGAACTCTGTACTACGTTATTTTTATGATGAATGGACAGACATATTGTTAGATGGAAATCATTTTGTACAGGAAAAAATACTATTTTCAAGTTTTAATTAGGGGCTTTTCACTTATTTGCATTTGAAAAATATTCTTTCCCTGTGATAAATCATCTAAGATGATGGAACTGTTGGGATACGACCTCTGGAATGCTTTAATTCTGGTCTCTTGGTCCTTTTTTTTAATGTATTTTTCAGTTTGAAAAGCCAATCAAAATGCTTATTTCTGGAAGAACTATGTTTTGCGTCTATAAATGTAATATTTACATTTATAGAAAATAAAATCTGTTCACAGCAAAGAAGATTTTTTTCTTTCAATAGTTTAATTACACTGAAAAGTGAAATTCTGTATACTTTCTTCAGCTTAGCATACCAAGATCATTTCGAGCTTTGCCAAAAGACAAAGTTTTTATCACTTAATTTTTGAACTGACAGTTTAGACATGCTAATCGTGATGCATGCTGATTTTAAAGTTGCTTTTAAGAACAGCAAAATGACACTGATGAAAAGGCTCTTGTTATTTCATTTTGAGAAGGTGAGATCACTGCCAGAAGTGGGAAAAGGCACTTTGTGTAGTTGTATTCCAGATGTTACAAGACAAAACACAATATCTTAGTTAGATTTGACACACCTAAATAGCAGCATTTCTGATTTTTTCCACTGTTAAGTGGAAGAATTAGCTCATCCTGATGTTCACTGAAAATATTTGCATTTAGTGTTTTTTATTGCTAGTTTTTATCTTACTATTGATCAACTGCAGAGTTGTAGAATTTTTTAAAATGAAAACTGCTATTCATAAAATTCCTTATAGCAAGCATTATGAGTCTCAGATTATTTTACATTCTGTTTTATTCTCTTCAGTTCTTTGAATTCTTCCTGAAATCTATCAGCCTATACATATGTTGTATCTAGATTGGGAGATTTTAGGGCTATTTTGTGTTAATTTTGCTAAGCTTATATACAGTTATTGCTCTAAGGTGTTATAGGTCTTTAGGATCTGTAATACCTGAGCCACAGGCAAGGAGAACCTTTTTGTATCTCTTGAAAAGCAGTGACTTTTACATATCCTTCCTGGTTACAGACTACTTTGTTAATGTCAAAAACTTTGTAGTTAACTACAGTAAAACAAAAGGCCATAGCTAATGCCCTATGACCACTCATTTGAAGTTAAGCTGCATTTTATACACTTTCCATTAAGCTCAGAGCTTACAATAGTCCGTGGACATGAGCCATAAATGAATTATTAATGTCATAAAATAGTAATGCCATTTTGTATTTTGATTTTGGAATATAATTTTCACTAAGGTAGCAAATGCTGAACTTTGCATTTAATACATGTCTCCTTATCCACAGTTGCATTCTAATTAAAAATGAGAATAAAAAGAACTGGACTTCTGTATAAAGGCATCCATAATAATACTGGAACTAATTGGAAACAGACTTTGAAATTTTGTAGAATTTAAATTAGATAACTCATTTATCATGTGAGGGTTAGCATTTTTCATAATCCTTTTGTGGTAATCATTTAATGACTACGCTAAATTAAGTATTGGCTTTGGAAAACACAGATAATTACTGTTATAGATCACCGTGTTTATCTACCTTTTAAGGTTTATACACACAGAATTCTGTGAGAAAATATTAGTATGCTGTTGCTGTCTATCAGAACTTTTGAATCATTCAGTAGTCATTCAGGTGTGTTTCAAGAAGTCTGCATAGCAGTGTCACTGAAGAACCATGTCCTGTGACACACAAGCTGAAATGCTACAGATGACTGAAATAATTTTTTAAAGCAACAGTAGATAGCTCAATATTTAACTTAATTTATATATTCCCTTTTCAGTGGTTTAACAAATTGCATCAGGTCATGCATTTAGGGGGAAAAAAATGTCAGTCATATTGAATGGTGGACAGCATTACGTTCCAATTGGAAGAGAGAAAAAGGGTGTTTTTGAATTTTTTCTAAATAGAAAACAAATATTTTTAAACACATAAAAATTGTTCTTCTGATACAATGCGTTTTTCTTTCCTAAAGCTATTAAAATGCCTTTCTTATAGCAATTTGGAAAGGAAGAAAAAAAGTTTTACACTGAACAATCTTTTAAATTGTGTTAATTAAAAATTGTTTCTTTCGTGAAGCTAACAGTCACCAATAATCTTAGCTTGCTCATAGGTTGTTGCTTTGCTATAATGGGAAGATTAATGTCACTCTTTTTTTATGTAAGACTCCAAATGTGTTATGGGCCATCAAAGTCAAGAGTCTTTCTTTTAAATAAATCACAAGTGGCTTACCTGATATTGTGAAATAGCTTGTTAACACTAGCAGTTTTTAATGCGTGATGCACTGGAAATGTTAAAAGTAGATGTTGAGTATTTGTGGCTTGAGATGAGTCATGCTTCAGTAGAAGTACTGTATTTAATTCATGTTTGCCAAGCTTTACATGATGTTATATTCTTTTCTCCTGGCTGTTGCTGTATTCCATCTTCATTGTTGCTGCTGCTTGGCAGACACAGTTACAGAATAGATGCTGTGAAATGCTCTGGTTTTTGGTTCATTATTTTTTTCTTCTCGCTATACTTAGGAAAAATTTATTCAAGTACACAGCTGTTTTTCTGGCTCTGGGTTTCTCTAGCTATTGTAAAAGAAATCATGTTTGACCAGAGAAGCATAGTGCAAATTCTTTTTACAATGTTTCTTAGAACTGACGTAAACGAACGTGTTTTGACTATGATTAATGAGTATTCTGTGACTCAAATGGAAGAGAATACTAACATCACTTTTATCAGGAACTTGTGCTTTCACAGTCAATGGAAATCCTCCATAAAAACTGGTATATCAGAAAAGAAAGCTCGTACCTTGATTTCATATTCTGAAAGCAGAATTCACATTTGTCTATTCCCACTTCAGTCTTGTATCTTTTGCACACTGTGTTCCATTAATATTTTTCTTTTCTGGAAATGAATGACTCTTAACAGCAGTATGGTCACATTAGTTAAATGAAGATGCTGGCTACTGTACTGCATTGGCCTATCTGTTAAATAACTTCTGGAGTCTGATTGTAGATACGTTCTGTTATGTTTGTTGTAGTCTTACCTCTGAAATTCATTTTCATATTAAATGCTTCTCTTTATGGAATCATGCTTGTCAGTCAATTTAATTGAAATGCCATGGTGACCTTTATTTGAAATGCTCTGAACTTCCTGTGGTTTTTGGAAAGTCTTTTTTCTTTGATTCCAATTAAAATTATTTATAAATTATCAGCTGCATACTAATTAACCTTATGAAACTGCTAGCAAATTAACCTTACAAACAATATATCTTTTGCAGAGGTAGTTCAGCTGAGTTTGCCAGAAGATCAAAAAATAAGCACTACTGCAGCAACAGTAGGACAAAGTGCTGTCTTAAGTTGTGCCATCCAAGGCGTTCTGAGACCTCCCATCATCTGGAAGAGGAACAATGTCATTCTGAATAACTTAGATTTGGAAGATATCAGTGTAAGTAAAAGAGTTCTATTTAACAGTTTGTTACAAAACCTTTGCTTGAAGAACTGAGAACCGATGTTTAACTAATTCCTACTCAATATGTTTTCAGTCATATGGCTGTATATAAGGAGAGCAAAACAAAATAATAGCAATAAAATGCCCACCGAACTCTGTTTTTCTTTGAAATTGTTTGCAAAACTCTTGGTGTTAAAATAATGAAAACATTTCACAGACCAAATGTTTAAAGGTAGTAGGTACGACAGCATAAATGTATGAAGACAAACTGCAACTTGGTGTTGTACATTCAGCACCATATAGGCTTCAAATATTTAGGAGAAGTTAATGTTTTAAGGAATTATTATTTAGCACAAGTAGGTCATTGTAATAAAGCACAGTTCATTGTAACAAAGTGTAAATAGATCACTTTTATAATATTATCTTCTCATATTTGAATGAAAATATACTTTTACCTTAGTACAACTCCTACTACAAAATTGGTTGTTTTGATCATTCCTCCGTGTATCCAGCAGACTGAAGGAATTTCCACTGAATGTCAGTACAACTTCTAAATCTATTGTTAGGAAAGTGTCTGCTACCTAACTTTGCCATGACCTCCAAATATGGAGGGAAAAAAATGAAACGAAAAACAGATTTTATGGTAGAGCTCTCAAAACAAGTTTTCAGCTGAGTTTTATTTCCTTGTATGTTCAATTTGCTTTGGCCATCATCTTATAGTACAAGAATTACAAAATGTGGACCAACATAGGGTTACACTTGCTCGGACTAGTATGTGTCTGAGTTCACTGCAGCTCTTCTATGTGTAGAGTATCATCACAATCAAATATTTCTTTTTTTTTTTTTTTAGTGAATGCTTTTATTTCTAAGGTGGCATTTGTACTAACATGGAACCTTCATTTTGTTTTACTTGCTGATTTTTTATCAGATTTGTTCATAAATTTAACTCCTGTGGAGTAATGCTTTATAAAATAAGGGGTGGTTTCAAAGCTCAGCTCACTTGAGCGGTAGTGTTTAGCCATTGCAGAGGCTTAGGATAAAACCAGCGTGCTCTGAAAAATTCCTTTTATATACTCATTAGTTTAATTATTTTAATAAGTATAATCATAGTTAGATGGTATCCCGAAGTGCATTAATAAAGATTGGAGGATCCTAGGATTCCAATGAAAGGCCACAAAGGTAGTAAGGGGTGTAGAGCATCTCCTGTATGAGGAAAGACTGAGTAAACTGAGTCTGTTCAGATTGAGGAAAAGACTGAGGGGATTGGATCAATATTTATAAATATCTAAAGGGAGGCTGGGAGCAAAAAGGTGGGACCAGGCTCTTTTCAGTGGTATGCAGCGATAGGACAACGTTTAATGGCCTAAAACTTGAACATAGGAAGTTCCATACAAATATGCAGAAGAACTTCTTTATGGTAAGGATGATGGAGCCCTGGAGGAGGTTGCCCAGAGAGAGGTTGTGGAGTCTCCTCCTACGGAGAGATATTCAATACCTGTCTGGATGCCTAACTGAAGGTTAGGGCAACTGAGGTTGAAGGGAACCTGCTTTAGCAGGTGGATTGGTTTCAGTCTCTTGAGGTCCCTTCCAAACCCTGCAGTTCTGTGGCTGATATTCAAATGTGTCTTACCCTTACTCAGCAGGTTCTTTTCTGCAGAATTTTTTAGCATTCCGTAAATATTCGTGATGGTCATAAATAATGATTTTGGAGTTCTTTCCTCACCACTTGTAATTAGAATGCATGCAGTGAGCTGTAGAAATAGGAACACGTACTTATATAGGGAGAAATAAAAGGGAAATGAATGGAAATGATGAATGTAACAACTTCGTTTTGGTTTGAAACGTTCTACTGAATGTTTTTGCAAACATGAAAAGAGCAAGTGTTTTCAAAGCTTGATACAAACATCTTGAATATGAAAATTGAAACAAGAAACAACAAAAAAAGACAAAAATAAAGCAAAAAAACACAGAAAATATTCCAGTAGGGAGTGCACTAGTGAACCACTTGGAAATGAAGTTGAGCCTGGGAAAGTGCAGAAGGAAGTTGTTGTTTTAATAAAGTTCATCTTTGTGTTTCCTACAACCTAAGTTACTAATTATTTTTTTTTTCACTTTAATTGGTTATAAATTAAGCTAGTTTTCCAGTAGATGAAGTCTAATTTTCCCATAATGGTAGTAAGGAGGCAGTCTTTACCTGCAAATTTTTTCATTCATGTTACTCCCCTTTTCTTTCCCTCTCTCTTTGATATGGAGAATGAGCAAGTGCTGACTGGGAGCTTGCTTATTAGCTAGGGCCAGCCTACCGTGCTTCTTTGTTAGTTATAACAGCTGGAATGCAGTCCAATATGGATTTTTTGAAGACTCACAGAGTGCCTAATTTGAAGTCAGTTTGAAGTGGTGTTTGGAAATCAAAAGCTAAGGGAGAAAATTGAAATTGCTAGAATTGGCAGAATTTTTGTACATTCAGTAGGAGTGAAAGGCCATGTGACAATGTACTGGCTTAACAACCATAAACATAAGCAAATAAATAGACCAAGCAAAGAGGTAATTCCCAAAAGAAGGTCAACAAATTGCACCCTGAGAGACTTTGCAAGACAGCTAGAATATGCTGTGGAAGTAAAAGCAGATGAGGGATTGCTCATCTCTGGAAAAAAACTTAGTATTCATACCTGCACAGAGTGGAATTATTTAAGAAGTTTGGGGGTGAGCTCTGCGTGTATATTTTGTGTATGGCTACAGCAGAAATGAAACAGAGTAAATTTTTCCAGTGACAGAAGTATAGTTCTGAAGGTGAATGTATTCATCATTTCTTTATATACCGTAAGAAAATCATAGAAAAATGGAATACTTGAAAGTGCTTTTTGAAGAAGACCGTTAGATCTTAGTCCATTAATATTAATAATTATGATTCAAAGGGAGTGACAGATCCAATATCCCTGAGGTGAGGCATTAAAAATATGTACCACTTGAATTAATGTAGGTGATACCGATCTGATATGCAGATAAGCCAACAAACAGTGGAAGAAAGAATTGATGGGGCCTGGAAACAAAGCACAAACAGAAACAATAAAAAAAAGATTGGGCATAAAAACATTAACTGGGTCCCAGAGTCTCTTTTCTTCAAAATCTGTTTTATGCATTCCACTGTTTGCACTGATTTGAACTCACACTTTTTATTTCCTTAAAGAAAAAATTGTCCTTGTATTTCTTTGGTCATTCAATAATGTTCTGAAATTAGATTATCAGATGCTCTTACAACTTCATATTTATTTCAGGGTTCTTATGTAGTTATTATTCAGTATCTGTTCAAGCAGTGTAGTAAAAATAAAACCTTCAGGAGAACAAAAATAATTTGACAAAACCGAATTATTTTATATTTCAATATGGGAAATTATGTAAGTACTTAAATATTGACTTGTAAAGAACAAATGCAGAGGGAATATAGCGTGTTTCAGTCTGTTGCATTTTAACCACCAAAGAATGTGTTGTACTTATTCAGACGATTTTAAGCATTCAAATGCTTTAAGCCCTTGTATAATTTCAAATGTCTGCAGAGGAAATGTGTTCCGTGATTTGCTGTGACTGTGTTATAATCTAAAATGTTTGGTTAGCACTGGGAATTATCAATTTACTCAGCTATATAACAACCACATGTGTGCATCTGAAAAATAATAATCTTGTGTAAGTTGTGGTATTGTTTTGGGAAAAAATAAGTGACAAGGGTTGATCTAGGGAGGCAGATAAATACTTTTTTTTCCAGCAAAATGCATCAGAGATCATGTTACTGGAAGTGAGCATATATGGCACCAATCAGATTAAGTAGTAGTGACAATGTGATTTTGTAAATCAAGGGACATGATGATTCGTATAGTGTGGAAATTAAGTTTTTGTACTGTGCAATTTTCAATGCAAGTTAAATTATTTGTTTTGGGAGTGACAAATTCAGAACAATATGTCTTTGACTTCCAAGGATTGAGAGCACAAATATTATTTAATCACTGCTTTTTAAAAAATAGAATAATTTAGAGAATTCTATCTAGCCACAAATGTATGGTTAAATATGAAAAATGATATGAAGACATTTAATAGCCAATTTTAGGAGTCTTCAGTGCTCCTAAACTCTTCTCACTGTATAAGTGATTAAACTTTATCAAAGTTGTGTGCCTTGCTATTTGGTTTTTTACGTTTAAACTGATAAAAGTCAGGTGATCAGCATTAACCTGAATTAAACCATGAAAAATTTTGTGCCTCTGCAAATTTTACTTTATTTAAATTGCAATTCATTTGTGCTACAACTCAGTATGGACTCAGACTTTTTACTGACATTTTAGTATGCATCTATAAGGGCTTTCTCTTGCCGTGATCCTGAATCTTAAATTTGTGATTTTTCTTTTCAATTTGCTTGAGTTATATATAAACTATTATTCATTGCAGAACAAAGTTCTTATTTATGGGAAAATTAAAAATAGCAGATTTTTTTTCCCCCAAATGCAGTGCCTAATGTTTTTCTCATATAAATTCATTTGCTTTTAAAATGCTCTTTATATTTCATTTTACTTTACTCTTTTTTGAATTTTTCCTTTAGTTTTGCCTTCAGCTGTTCTCCTATTCCTAGCACTTCTCTTACAAGCAGTCTGCCCTTTGTTCTTACATTTGTACAAGATCTACTTAAATGACTTGCTCACCAATGAAGTTTAACATCTGCTAACATTCTTAAATTAGTAGATTTTTAAAGGAGTGTAGATTGATCTACTTTTTAATGAAAACTAATGATCTCTTTCTTTAGACTACCTTAATTGAAAACATGTAATATTTCTATTTGACAGGCAAAGTTTGTGGTTTTGAAGTTACGTATAGGTTATCTTTCTTTCAAAACATATCATTTTTCATTGCATTAAAATTAATTTCCAAATTAAACTTATACTTTTGATATCATATTCAAGTCTACATCCTAGGTTGGCCAGCAGGGCAAGGGAGATTATTGCCAACGTCTGCTC